GCTGGCAGGGGAAGGACTATGTCCCTTTCCCTTGCCCCCATCTCCCCTTAGGAAGGGTAGAGGAGATTCAGGAAGACCAGTAGTGGACTGAGGGAAGGTGTGGCAGATCCTGCCCAGGCAGAAGCGATAGCTGTGGATCATTCCCTTCCTGCGGCAGATTGGCAGACGGTTGTTTGCATAAAAGCCAAAAGCCACTGCACCTGGGGCAGGGAGGCCCTCTAGGGAGGTACTCCCTGGCTTGGGGGAGAGGGGGCAGGAAGGTGTCATGGAAAGTCCCTGAAGGACACAGGGTGTTGAATTTGCTGTGGTTTTGTTTTTAAGTCTGTCTTGACCTGTGAAATATGCAGCTGCCTCCCAGCCCCTCCCCACCCCCCAAATAACAGATCTGCCCCCAGAACAGCATGCACATACCCAAGGAAATAACTCCACAGTGGAAAGAATGGAGGTTAGAAGAACTGTGAGTGACATTACCTGACCCCTACCCAGGGAGGAGTTGAGAGGGCAGGAAGCCCCAAAACAGTCTTTTCCCATCACCTCACCTCACCCCCTCGCAGCCCCCTGACTCAAAAGAGCTGCCTAGTCAAATAAACCGCAGTGGAGGGTGGATCGGAACCGGTGGGGCAGGTGTCATCTCCTCCCCCAGGTTTGTCCTGCCACCCATCCCACCCCCACTGGAATTACATTCTCAGCACCCTCAACTCTGTCTCATAGACTCCTGAGAAGCAGTGAGTGTGTGTATATGAGAGAGACAGACAGACAGACAGACAGAGACAGGCAGAGAGACTGAACCAGTAACGCTCAAGACAGCCTAGTGTGGGCTCCCGGCCCCAATTCCAGCCTTCCTTCTTGCTGGCTTACCCCCAAATAATTCACTTTCCCTCTCTGCGCCTTGATTTTCCCCTGAATCTGGAGTTCCTTCTGCCAGGACTTTAAAGCTTGGCCTCCATCCCATTGCTCCAGTCGGCTCCAGTCCGCCCCGCCCCCCCCCCCCCCCCCCCCGTCCAAATCCTGACACTAGACCAGGAAGATGGCACTTCCCTGCTCACCAGTCTCAGGCACAAGGAGGGAGAGGAACCGAGGATTGAAGGGTTAGGGGAATGGGGGTGGGGGTGGGGGGGAGGTGGGCAGGTTCATTGCCACTTTTCCTAAATTGTCACATTCTCAGGGCCCTCAGGGTGGGACTTGTCAGGTGGGACTTGTCAGGCTCCTGAATGTGGATTATGGGGGGGGGGGCAGGGGGGCTGAACCCAGGTCCCCTTTCCTTTCTCTGGTTCTCCTCTTAGTTCTGTATGGACCAGGTGCAGATTCCAGAGCCCAGGGTGTTCTGAGCAGGTCCAGGTGGTGAAGGGGGGGGGGGGGTCGGGGGAGAGGGGATGGGATGCAGGGCTAGGCGGGAGCCAACGGGGTGTGAGGCAGGGCAGCTGCACTTCTGAGAAACAGCTCGGCATCTCCGCAGCCCGCAGCCTCCCCCCCTGCCTGCGGCTTCACAGCTCGCTCCCGCCGCCCACGCCGCCCGGGGCCTCTCCGGGGGTCGGCAGCCCCGACGGAGCGGGGTGAGGCCGCTGATGGGGGGGAGGGAGGGAGGAAGCCCCAGTCCCGGGGAGGGGCAGTGGAGTGGAACCCACGGGGAGGGGGGGGAGGATGGAAAGCAGAGGACTGCGTTTGTCGCGTGACACCCCGGGGGGTCCCGCGCCCCGCGCCCCGCCCCCCGACGGCCTCCTCCTCGCCCTGATCCCACCGCCGCCGGAGCGGGATCCAGAAGTGAAACCGCGGGGGTCACAGCCCAGCGCCACCGCTGCGCCCCGCCCCGCCCTTCCGGGCACTGCAGCCCAGCCGGAGCTCCCGGGGCTCGGCCGAGAGGAAACGGGGGCGGGGCCGGGGAAGCGCCCCACGGGGGCGGCGTGCGCGGCGCGGCCGCTCTCCCCGGGGTGCCCGCTCCGGAGCGCGGCTGGGAACCTCGAGAGGCGCGGCCCGAGCGCGCGCCGCGCCCGCACTTCCCGACATGGCCGCTAGGTGTCACTGCAGCCGCGCGGCTGGGCCTGCGGGAGGGCCCGGCTGGCCACGGCGCGCGCGCGGACCCGCGGGGCCCGGGAGCCTGGCCATACTCGAGGGCGGGCGCGTCTTGCACCTCCTTCTCCAGCGTGCAGACCCGAGAAAGAGAGACCCGCTCCACGCTGCGTGGATTCTTGGAGACATGCGATCGCCTGGCCTCTGAGGTTTTTTTGTTTGTTTGTTTTGTCGGTCGTGGGGCTTGAACTCTGGGCTTGGGCGCTGTCCCTCAGCTCTTCAGCTCAAAGCTAGCGCTCTACCACTTGAGCTACAGCGCCACTTCCGATTTTCTGGTGGTTTTATTGGAGATAGGAGTCTCACGGTCCCTCCTGCCCGGGCTGGCTTTGAACCACGATCCTCAGATCTCAGCCTCCTGAGTAGCTAGGATTACGTGAGCCACCAGCGCCAGGCCCTCTGAGGTTTTGAGTCGCCTCCTCCATCTCCTCTTCTGCTATGAGGTCTCAGAAGGCCATGCGGCAGTTTCTGGAAGTAGAACAGCGGGTTTCCCCTCCTCAGAGCTGGGGATTCTTGTCCAGCTGTAACCCACCACTGCAGCCTGGAATGATTCTCCCTAATTCTTTCTATGACCCCAGGAGGTCACTTTCTTTGAGCCTCAGCTTTCCATTTCAGTGTCATGGGGAGATTGATTCGCTGATTGACATAAAAGGGCTTTGTCTTCTGCCCAATGCAATGAGATTCTGAGTTCTTTTTCTGTGCACTTAAACACCTGGGCATGCTTAAAAGGTGATTTATCTTGCTTGACCTTGTCTCTGTTATTCCAGCCTGGAACCCTGGCACCCCTCCCTGAGAAGTGGCTCTAGGCATCTATAACCAGCACCAGCTATCGCAATACTGCCAATGAAGGAGATAGTTCTGGGAACTATGGAAGATGGCCAGTGGTAGATTATGCCAGTCCCATTCCCAATGCTGCCAAGAGCAGCCAGGTCTGCTACCTTCCCATAGCTGGGCTGTAGTAGGTCCCAGCAGATTCCAAGCTGGGGTTTTAGGAAGGGCCTCCTCTCTGCCTTCCTTGGTCTGCCAAGCCTGAGTCCAAGCTTCTTAGCCAAGAATGAGAAGTGCCTTGGTCACAAGTGGATGCCAGGGTTGCTGGGCTCAAGGGCTTATTGCAAAGGCTGATCCTTGTCAAGGTCATCTCAGGACAAGCTGCCTGGAGAGATCAGGACTTTGGGGAAGGGAAGGACTCCCCAGGGAGGACTCCCTACAGGTCACAAGTGCTCCCTTTGAGGCTTAGGAGTTCCACCCAGAAGTCAGCTGGGCGCTGAATTCACTCACGGTTAGTGCTCTACCACTTTGAGCCATTGTGTCACTTCTGGTTTTCTGGTGGTTAATTGGAGCTAAGAGTCTCATAGATTTTGCTGCCCCCGCTGGCTTTTAACTGTGATCCTCAGATCTCAGCCTCTTGAGTAGGATTACAGGTATGAGCCACTGGCACCCAGCTTCCATTCACACACAGAGGATAAATTAAGTAATTCTCCTATAACTTAACACCCAGCTTCTAGCAATATCAACTCAGCCAACCTCAACATTTTGGGTCATTTCAACTATAATACTTAAAAATGAGTCGTTTAAAGGCAAAAAAAAAAAAAGCTAAAAATATAAATCAGGCACTATGGCTCATGCCTGTAATCTACCTAATCGGGTGGCTGAAGAAGAGAAGCCCAGCAGAAACATCTGGGAGACTCTAACTCCAAATAACCAACAAAGTATCAGGCTGGAGGTATGACTCAAGTGGTAGAGGGCCAGGTATGAGCAAAAAAAGCTACGAGGGAGTGGCCCTGAGTTCAAGCCCCAGTACTGGCACACATGCACGCATGCATGCGTACATACACACACACACACACACACACACACACACAGAGGCAAAGCCATAAGCACATAGTGTTATTGCACCTCAAAAAGTTAACCATGTTTCTTAATACCATCAAATATCTCATCAGTTTGTATTTCCCCCAGTTGCTCATTAAAGGATGCATTTTACAGTTAGTTTGGGTTTGAATCAAGTAAAGTCAGCATATCATACTTGGTTGACATTTGTCTATATTTCTTGGAATCTAAAGTCCCCATCTTTACTTTTCTTGTAAGTTATTGTTGTTAAAGAAGAAACCGGGTTATCTGGCCTGTAGTTTCCCAATCTGGATCTGGCCATTGTGGCCTCGAGTGTCACTCACATTTCTGGTAAATTGTAAGGGGATCCAAACAATCAGATTCAGGTTTGCTTTTGTTTCCGTCTTGGCAAAAAATAATGCCTACTTGGGATCTGCATTCTGGAAGGAGGCTCCGTCTCTAATTTGAGCAGGAGACACAGTGTTGCCAGTGAGAGATGCCGATTAGAGTCCCATTGGACAAAAGGTCAAACTATAAAACTCTCCAACACAGGACTAAGCAGTGGGCAGATTCACACTTTGGATGTTGAAGGGTGGTTTGGAGAAGGAAGCAACCCAGAGGGCTGAGGGATAGGAGTCCATGTCTATTGGCCTGTAACCGTAAGGACAGCAAGCTGCAGGGCTGGGGATTATGGTGGGGGCCAGCAGTAGGAAGAGCAGGGACTTGTGGAAAGGGTTGTCCCATCTTGAGAGTGGTGTAGATACACAGATGTGTTTTCCAGGACTCACTGGCCACTTACCAGCAAGGAGGGACTTGCTAAGAACAGGGTGCTGTCTTTCAACTCCTTCCCAGTCCCCAAATCCTGTTAAGAGTCACCTCTGTAGGTCTAGGCTGTCAGGAAATCTCACCTGCCTGACAGTTCTTTACTGCCCAAATTCTTTATTGGGTACTATCTGTGCCAGGTGCCATGCTGGGCACCAGAAGTTCTCATATAACCAAGACTGCCATGCCCAGGCTGACCATGATGTGCCCACTGAGCAGTCACCAACAGTCTTCATTAGGACCTACTTTCCTTGGTTCAGTTTTTGCCAAACACAACCCATGAATTTATCAAAAAATAGTCTTTATTGTCACTGGTATAAAACAGAGCAGATCAACTGGCCTCTCAGTCTGTATAAAGGGTGGGGCATGAGACCACCTGGGCTGTGGCCATTTCTCTCATCATATCCCAGAACTCCACAATGGGGGACAGGGCTCCCCAAGCGTGTGCCTCTGAGGAACAGGATGAGGATGGCCAGGGTGGATGTGTGGATGGGGGAGGGAGGATTCTGCCTGATGGAGGCAAAGGTTTAAAGGAGAAAACTGGAGTGGGAGAAGCCCCTCAATCATTCATCCCCACTCCCAGCATCTCCCCAGTTCACTGCATGAGGGGCCGTGGCAAACCTGCCACCAACGGAGACCGCTCAAGTGGCCTCAGAAGGCCACGCGCGTGCAGCAGTGGCGCAGCAGGCAGGGCAGTATGCCTCGGTTCAGCTGGTGGAACTCCACAAGCTGCAGCAGGTCCGTGAAGCGCGTCTGGCCATCATCCATGCTGAAGTAGAGGCAGCCCTCATCCTCGCTCTGGGTGTGCCGGAGGACAGAAGGTCAACAGAACACGAGGCTGAGGAGCTGCCTCCTGGGGCAGGGCTGAAGGTCCCCACTTTTCTTTTCCTTCCTTCCCTTCCCTCCCTCTCTTCCTTTCTCCCTCCCTCTCTTCCTTCCTTTCTTGTTTTTGGTTGGTCATGGGGCTTGAACTCAGAGCCTAGGCACTGTCCCTGAGCTCCTTTTACTCAAGGCTAGTGCTCTACCACTTTCTACTAAAGGCTGGCTTTAAACAGTGATCCTCAGATCTCCACCAAAGGCTTATGTCTGACCATCATTTGATTTTTTTTTTGGGGGGGGGTCCAGTCATGGGGCCTGAACTCTGGGCCTGGACGCTGTCCCTCAGCTCTTCAGCTCAAGGCTAGTGCTCTACCACTTGAGCCACAGCGCCACTCCCGGCTTTTTTCTTTTTGCTTATGTGGTGCTGAGGAATCGAATTCAGGGCCTCATGCATGCAAGGCAAACGCTCTACCACTGAGCCACCTTCCCAGCCCTTTTTTTTTTTTTTTTGGGTCCGGTCATGAGGCCTGAACTCTGGGCCTGGGCACTGTCCCTCAGCTCTTCAGCTCAAGGCTAGCACTCTACCACTTGAGCCACAGCGCCACTTCCGGCTTTTTTCTTTTTGCTTATGTGGTGCTGAGGAATCGAACCCAGGGCCTCAGGCATGCAAGGCAAGCACTCTACCCCTGAGCCACCTTCCCAGCCCCCATCATTTGATTTTTGAGACAGTTTTCTACCTTTTGTCTAGTCTGGGCCTCCTGTTTCTGCCTCCCAAGTAGCTACCACCATGCCTAGCTTGGAGGTTCCCACTTCTTTTATCTGTTGTTGGTTGTGGGGCTTGAACTCTGGGCCTGGGCGCTGTTCCTCAGCTTTTCAGCTCAAGGCAAGCGCTCTACCACTTGAGCCACAGTGCCACTTCCAGTTTTCTGGTGGTTAACTTGGAGATAAGAGTCTCACGAACTTGCCTGTCCAGGCGGGCTTTGAACTATGATCCTCAGATCTCACCTGAGTAGCTAGGATTACAGGCATGAGCCACCAGTGCCCAGCTCCCACTTTTTACACAGGGAAAATCAGGAGACTCATAATGGGCCAGGGAGCAACTTGTGAGGGGCTGATGAGAGACGGGCTGGTGGTAGTCCTGCAGGGAGTGGAGGCTCCTGGGAACGAGGGAGCTACTCACTGGGAGAATGAGATAATGCTTGACTTTCTGCAGGTGGCACAAGGACAGGACAAAGCCCTGTGGGTTCCGCTGGCTCTCCCGTACCAGGAACAGGCTTTGGAGAAATCAGGCAACATTATCAAACATGCATAACTGTGCCTTGCCCCAAGGTCTCTGTAAAGGATGGATCCGCTACCCACATGGCCCAGCGCAAGCCCTTACCCATCCACTAGGCCCTGCTGCCCAATAAGCCGCTGGCTTTCCTCCCGGGAGATGCGTCCATGGAACCAGGGCTGTGTGCGGTGGATGGCTGGGATGGAGGGAACAGATGGGCTATCAGTTGGGGAAGGGGACAGCCATCCTTGGACTGGTATGCTTAGAAGCTGAGAAGCCCCACCCTGAGGGCCCCTGGGCCTTCACCTACCTGCACTGAGGCTCGTGCCAGAGCTGGGAGTGGGCAGGCTGAGGCGATGGTTTGTCTTCTTCTGCAGAGAGGTAGGGGATACAGGGTTGGGAGAACTGCCTGGTAACACCTAGCTAGGGCCCTCCCTGAGCTCTTCTCTTTCTCCCAACTCCACAAAGATATAGAGAGGAGTCCTGGCAGACATGCAGATGGGTGCAGGCCTCTCACCCTCCAGGCCTGGGCCTCCTCCAAGGCTGCACTCAGAGCTTCCCGGGGGTTCTCGATGACACGTCCAGCATGGCCAGAGAAGTCCATAGCCACCAGCGTATTATCTGAGACGCTCCTCTGGAAATGGATCCGAATGGGGAGAGGAGAGTTCAAGACATCTGCTCCAGGCCAGGACTGGGGTGCCTTCCTGCACAATGCTGTACACACTCACCAGAGGCGGGGAACCCAAATAGGATGGGCGCAGGTGGCGAGACTGGGCCTGCTGATAATTCTTGTACAGCTGCATCCCATACTGAGGGTGGGGAGAGAAAGAGGACTCAAGGTCAAGAGGATCTGGGGGTCTGGGCTATGATACCCCAAAAGCAGAGCTGTTTCTGCCTTGGATAAGGGTGGGATGAGGACTCGGAACAAAGCTGTCCTCAGTAGAATTCACAAAGCAGTGCTAGGCCTTCTCCTCTATGCTGGGGGCCCTTCCAGTGCCCCACCCTATGCAGGCTCACCTTGAAGAGGCGGAAGGCAGCCATCCAGCAGGTGCGGCTCTGTTGGTCTTCACTGCAGAAGATGTGAAGCCCCTTGTGGCCATTTCGAAGCTTGTTGGGCTAGTGCGAGAGAAAATAGCCTGATCTCAGATCTGCATTTGGAATCAGATCTCCAGGCAGAGCTCCATGGGGGCAGGAGAAGACCCAGTGGTTTCCCACAGTTCAAGGTCCCTAAAATAGAGCTCAGAAGCCCAAGGTAAGATCTTGGGGGCCTATGTTGCTCTGACCATCCCCCAAGGTCACGCCAGGCCAGGCTAGCCATGGTTACCTTGACACAAAAGCCGAAGTCCGTGGGCATCCCATAGAGCTTGCGGCCCTGAGTTACTACATACACGTTGGACTCGTTTACATCTGCCACATACTGCAGGTGCCTTGGATCCTGAGCAGCACAGGGAAGCAGAACTTGGTGTAAGCAGATGCTATCTCCTCAATACTGGCCCCCTCCTTACTGCAAACCAGGTGAGATTTCAAGACCAGGGAGGGGAGGGATGGGAAAGGACCCATGATCACATAGCAAATATACAAGTATAGTCTATCTTGAACTTGGGTCACCTGCTACCTCCTGGGAGAGGTAAGCTGGGCAGGGGTTGAGGGGCGTGAGGGCATGACCTAGAGGCTGCCAGACCCACAGGAGTAGGAAGAGCAGCAGAGGGTCAGGGGGAGCTTAGGGAGAGAAGGGCCCAGGAGTTTCCAGGGGGCAGGGGTATGCAAAGGACTAGGGATGGTGCCCTCCAGACCTTACCTTTGAGGTGCCTTTGGTGGAGTAATATAGTCCAGAGCGGCGCAGGAAACAGAAGAAGCGTTTCCAAAGCTTGCGGCCTGAGCCCCGCAGCTGCAGGAAACCCTGGATCTCTGGGAAGCTGCCAGCATTCAGGAAGTTCTGAGACAGGAGAGAGGGGGAGTGAAGGGCCTGGATTTTAATCCTAGGGAAGGTTGGCTCACACCTGCACTGGCTAGCCCCATTTAACAGATAAGAAACTCATCTTCCAGCCTAGAAAGTGTCTTTTTTTTTTTTTGCCAGTCCTGGGGCTTAAACTCTGGGCCTGGGCACTGTCCCTGAGCTTCTTTTGCTGAAGGTAAGCAAAAGAAAGCTGCCACTTCCAGCTTTTATGAGTAGTTTATTGGGAGTTAAGGAGTCTCAAGGAATTTCTTGCCCGGGCTGGCTTCAGATGGCAATCCTCAGATCTCAGCCTCCTGAGTAGCTAGGATTATAGGCATGAGCCACTAACTGGCACCTGGCTAGAAAGTTATATACAATCACACAGGGGCTTCAGGGTGAACAATCATTGGATCATTCTGAGGAACTGTGACTACAGTGAAGTGGGGGACCCCCTCACCTGGATGAGGTCCTCATGGGATACACCTGTGTGTACATCCAGACAGCTAGAGACCATCTTTTCTGGGAACAGGGAGTGCTGGAGCAGAGAAGGGTCAGGGGTCAGGGATCAAGGATGCAGGCTCGGGACCCACAGTGTCCCTGCAGTCACAACCCTCCTCCCCTCAAACACACTCACTGGGGAGCTCTTGAACAGTTCATACTTGGCGAAGTTTTTCCGAAAGACCAAACGGCTGTCTCCACCCACAGGCCAGGCTGCCTGTACTTCAACCACAAACTCATGGTCCTCCAAACCCCGCTCTGGGGTCAAGAGCAAAAAAAAAAAAAAAGCATGGATTCATGGGAATTAATCAAATCTGACCCCAAATGTCAGGCATGGCCAACCAGCTCACTCAAGCTCCTGGGACCCCGACTTACCCAGTGCTAGCTGGGGGTGGCATTCCACTAGTCCCCAGCTCTCATCGCTCAAGGCGTGAGCTTTCTGCACAAGCATTTCACACACATGGCCAACTGTGGTGCTGGCAGCCACCTCCACAGACCGGCAGGTCCCGTCCTCGCTGTACACCTTCACTACCTGCACCCCAGGAGTTGCAAATGACTTGGGGGCAGGAAAAGGGGGATTCTTTTGCTCTCTTCCTTTTTTTTTTTTTTTTGGTGCCAGTACTGGGCTTGAACTCAAGGCCTTCAGCTCTCACTTGGCTTTTCTGTTCAAGGCCCCACTTGAACCAGGCCTCCAACTTCTGGCCTTTTTGACTAGTGGGAGATATGACCTTTCCAGCCCAGGCTGGCTTCAAACTTCCATGCTCAAATCTCAGCCTCCTGAGCAATTAGGATTACCAATGTGAGCCACCGGTGCCCAGGCCTTCCTGTGTTCTCAGAGACCTCTGACCAAGAGGCTCCCATCTTTGCCCAAGAAGGCACCATGCCCACCCAGGCCCAGAATGCCCTATGCCATGGGACTCACATGGAGGCGGCTCACATCTCTTGGGAGCAGTCCCCTCATACTGGAGGACCCTCCAAGGATGGGAGAATGAGCTGGAGGGCTGCAGAGCTCAGGGAAGGGATTGGGGATGGATGGTAGAGAGGTGGCCTGAAGCTCCTCCTCTCGAAGTTTCCTAAAGCAGACAAGTAAAGAGGGAAGGGAATCATCTCGGATTAGCCAGGGCTGGCCTCCCCTGCCAGCCCCCTCCCCCGTCCCTTCACCCCATTTATACCTGCTGGGGGGGATGGGCAGAGGCTGTGACCTCTTCACCTCCCCTGAAAGGGGGACATCAGGAGGCAGGGGAGTCCCAGGAGGGGTCCCAGGAGCTGGGCACAGGTCTTCCGGGGAGCTGCTGAGATGAGGTGAAGACACATCCAGCTCCATGACATCTGAGGGAGAAGAGGGAGGTGGGGACTGAATTGAATCACTCGGTGCCCGCTCGGTGCCCTTGTCCCCAACCCTGTGGTCTCCACACAGCTGTCACTCTCAACTGCCACTGCTACCCTCTAGCTGGATTTTCCTAGAATCTTCAGAGAAGGGAATGAGCCCATTTTGCAAAAAGGGACACTAAGGCTCTGAGAAGGAAGCACTGGGTGTCCCCACTGGGTGACTCCGGTGTTTGGACTTGGTGCTTTTCCTCCAGCCAGAGCTGTTCGGGGCAAGAGTTGAGAGGGTCCCGTGCCACACGCCTGGCTGTACCCACAGATGCCTGGACTCAGCTCTCAGTGTCAGGGCAAAAGACCACCCCTTCTGACTCCTGGTGTGGGGTGCTCGTTCACTCAGGGTTTTTCCAGCACTTTGTTGCCAGACCCAGTTGCCAAGCCTGTGTGGCAACACCTGGCAAGTGATGACTGATGTACAGAAAGGGGAGAGGGAGGCAGTGAAAGACAGCAAGCAGGAGGGAGGGGAGGGAAAGGCCTGCCCTGCAGTCTGTGGCCACAGTAGCTTCTAAACCTTGTATGTCACCTCCCCACCCCAACCAACCCAGGTTGCTTGTCCTGCTCAGAGCCACTTCCTCTGTGAAGCCTCCCTGGATTTGCCACATTGAGACCAAATGGCTCCCTTTCAGTATCATGTTAGAACCTTTGTGTCAAATTACTGCGCACAGGGGCTGCGAGTGTGGCTTAATGGTAGAGTGCTTGTCTAACATGTATGAAGCCCTGGGTTCAATTCCTCAGTACCACATAAACAGAAAAAGCAATCTGGGTGCCGATGGCTCACACCTGTAATCCTAGCTACTCAGGAGGCTGAGATCTGAAGATCACAGTTCAAAGCCAGCCTGGGCAGGAAAAGCCGTGAGACTCTTTTCTCCAATAAACTACTCAGTAAACCAGAAGTGGTACAGTGGCTCAAGTGGTAGAGCGCTAGTCTTGAGCTGAAGAGCTGAGGGACAGTGCCTAGGCCCAGAGTTCAAGCCCCATGACCAACAAAAAAAGAAAGAAAAAACTGGAAATGGTGCCATGGCTCAAGTGGTAGAGCTCAGAAAGGCTCAGGGACAGAGCCCAGGCCTTGAGTTCAAGCCCCAGGAACAGCAAAAAATAAATTAAAAGAATTAATTACTGTGCACCTGTTTTACTACCCCATGGCCTAAGAGTATCAGGTACCCCTGCCAGGCTCCCATGTCTTAGTACTCACAGATGCACTGACACCCAGGACAAGCAAAACAGGAGAGAAAGGGCAATGATGCCCCCTGAGAAGAGAGACAGCATGTCCTCTGTCCCAGATGCTGAGACTTGGAGGGCCCAGCCCCCACCCACACCTCTTCTCCAGACACCGGGTCAGGGCTACAAGGCAGCCTGGGACACCTGGCAGAGCCCATCCACCCACCCCTGGGATGGGGCAGACACCTGTCCCTTATGTGAGGGCATGAGGGGATCTGGGGGGACAGGTGAGTCAGGAAGGGGAGGGACACCTCTGCCCCAGGCTCTCCATTCAACCCTGACTCATCTACAAGACTTCCTGGCTTAGGAGAAACACAAACAACCCAGCCTATGCCTTCCACTCCCAACTCCTTAACCCACGGGTAGCCTGGGAGGAAGAGGAAAGCCCAGGAAAGGAGCAAAATGGGAAGGAGGATTCAGCCTGCAGCTCCTCTGGCATCATCCCTCTCCTCCCCACACTGGGCCAGGCGGGACCAGGTCCACCTGCAGTCTGCCCACTGCAATCCCAAGTCAACATCCAGTAGAAAGGGAGGAGAGAGAGGCAATATCTGACCTGGATCTAGAGTGAAGATCTTTCTCCCCCCCCCCCCACTCCCCTCAAGCACCATCCACAGCTCCCCATTCTAAGCCTGCCAGGTTCTCTTGTGTTTTTCACCCTGAGGATCTAGTACACATCTGACCTAATACACACATTGTCACACCATCCTGGGGATGAACTTCCTAACGCTCTCCAGTGCCTGGACCTTTGGGATGCCACAGAGGCCGAAGTGGAGTCATAAAAGCCCAAGAGGGCGCACAAAGAAAGGTCTGCAGAATGCTGGGAAGGTGACACCCACTTCGCAGCCTCAAGGAACCCCAGGCCAGGGACGCCCCACTTCTAACATCGCATTTCAGGGTAAAGTAGGGGAAGGACTTCCAAAGGCCTCCCCTTCCTTCAAATGAGACATCAACAGCGGTGAGGGTAAAATTTAGAAGGGGAAGAAGTGAATTTAGGTTAGAGTCTGGCATGGGAAAGGGGACTGCTTCCAGATTGAGGCCCACCTTCAGACCTTCCCCAGGCTGGGGAGGAGTGGGTCAGGCCCAGAAGTGAGGTGCAGCTACGGGGATAATGGGGAAGGGGTTCTCCATTAGGTCACAAGGTCTTGAGCTTTCAGTAAGAATTCTGTCGGAGAAATCCACACCCTCAAATCAATGTGTCCCTTCAACACCACAGCTCTAGACCCTGGCTTCCCAGCCTGCCTCTCCTGTCCCAGCCCTCTAGCCCCACCCTTCTTCCTACCCTCCCAGCGGCCTTGTTTACTTCCTGAATCTTGCCCCACCTGGCAGGCCTAAGGGCAGGTGGCAAGGCCCAGTATTTGGGGCCAACAGAAAACAAGGCCACCTTCCCTGAGTCTAAGGGGGGGGAGGGAGAGGGGAAGAGAAGGGGAGCTACACAGAGGCCCAGATGGGAAGCGCAAGGCTCTGGGTGGCAGGAATTCCCTATCTCGCCCAGTACTACAGGCCTGGCCCCATCAGGATTTCCTAGGGATAGTTTACCCGTTGGAGGATGCAGGGCTGGGGTGAAAAAAAGGATAGGAAAGAAACCTCTAGGTGATCAGGAATTGAGGGAAGGCCCTGGACAGGGAAGCTCCGCCCACTCTCTCGCTCCAAGAAAAACACCCAATAGGAGAAAGGGGGGGGGGCAGCTCTTTTAAAGTTTAATTTGGTAAGAATGTTAAAGTGTCACCTGTGGAGTTAATCATTATTTTGCCTTCGGGAAGGTACACACACAAACAGAGCTGGATTCTAAGGGGAGAGTTACTTACACACACACACACACACACACACACACACACACGAGGGAGGGAGAGGGAGAGGGAGAGGGAGAGGGAGAGGAGAGAGAGAGAGAGAGAGAGAGAGAGAGAGAGAGAGAGAGAGAGAGAGAGAGAGAGAGAGAGAGAGAGAAAGAGAGAGGGAGGGAGGGGGGGGGAGGGAGAGAGAGAGCTGGATTCTAAGGGGAGAGTTACACACACACACACACACACACACACACACACACACACACACACACAGAGCTGGATTCTAAGAGGAGAGAGTTGGGAGCAGAATCCAGACCAAGCAGCAAGGGTATTCCTGGGGGACAAAAAGGTTGGGGGTCAGTTCCATCTAGCCCACAGGTGTCTCCAACCTGGGGTCTTTCCCCAACCTCATCAAACCAGGACCACCTGGGTCCCCCATCCACACTCTCCCTAGGCCCACGGCACTCAGCCCTCCATCCAACCTCCCGGATCTCCTAGTCCTGAAGCCAGGAGGGATCCCCGGGCCTGAGCACCCCCAGGTCCGGGCAGGAGTCGGAAGAGCTGGAGACCACTTTCCAGAGAACAGCAAGATGGAGCTTCAGCTGTTTGGGGGAACCCCTTTACCGCCCTCCAAATTGCAAAATGCACCCCCCCCATCCTGCCCGCGTTTGAATAGTCTTGGGGGACCCCACATTGGAGCAAACTGAACTGAGTTAGGACGTGGGGACGACCTGGGCGTCCGAACCCCCTTCCCCAAGGTCCCTGAATATTTAGCGGGAAATCGGGGGTGCTGAGACTTATCACTCCCCCGCCCCACCGACGAGTCTGGGGTGTTTGAGATGGGAGAGCCGAGGGGGAGGAGGTGGGTGGGATGGGATCTGGGGGACAGGAAAGGAGGTCAGGGGGTGCCAAGTGAGGAAGAAGCGGATAACAGGAGAGACGGAGAGGAGCGGGGCGGTGGGACCACGACGCCGTGGGGCGTCCCAGGCTTTCCACGTGGGACCCCAGGTCTCTGGACCCCCCCACCTCTGAGACAGAGTGCCCGCTTCGGCTCCTACCTGGACCCGGGACACCTGCCTGGGGCCACGGGCTGAGGCGGGGAGACGCCGCGGCCCGGTACCCCCCCCCCCCTCCCCGGCTCCTGCCCGGGCCTGACTGACATCACGGCGCCGGGAAGAAGTGGGGAGGAGGCGGGGGAGCCCGGAGGCCGCCCCTCCACCCACCCGGGCCGCCGGCCACCCGGCTCGGCCCCGCGGCGGACGCGGCCTGGGGCCCAGCCCGGTGCGGCTGGGGTCGGAACAGGTTGTCTGAGACCGATCTGCCTCCACTTACCTGCAGAAGAGACGCTGGACCCCGGGTCCAAAGTATTTGGGATCTCAGGGACCCCCTAGCCCTTCAGATGCCCGGATTCGACCTCTCTACAGGTGCTACAGAGTGACCCGACTCTGGACGGAGACGTCGTCGTCGGGGGAAGAAGAGGAGGAGGAAGGAGCCCCTGGAATCCAGATCCCAGGCCCAAGGAAACTAAAATCACCCTGGGCAGGTGGGGGCGGGGCCGGAGGCGCGGGGCGGAGGCTCCGGGGACCGGGAGGCGACCGGGATTGTTTTTCGGCCCTTCGGAGCCCGCGCGGCAGCAGGTGTGGGGGTGGGGAGGTGGGAAGGGGGGGGAGCGGGGGTAAGGACCTGGAGAGCAAAGCAGATCTGGAGTCCTGACTTACCTGGGGGGGAGGGGCTGGAAAAGAAGGGGAGCCGGCCCGCCCCCTCCCCGCACGCCCCTCCTCGCGCGACGCTGGCCAGGTCATTGGCCCAGCCCGGGGGCCCGACTGCCGCTCTGGGGCCCACCCCCTCGGGCAAAGGGCGCCGGGAAGGGCGCGCAGAAGCCAGGCCAAGGGGACTGTCTAGCCACCTGCCTTAGCTAACCCTTGGCCTCCAGCCGCCAGTCTGGTCTCCTCCAGAGGCACCCAGAGTTCAGTTTTGTTTTTTCCTCTCCCTTCTGAGCAAGGCCTGGGGTTCTCGCTTTCCACTTCTCAAATCGCAGGGGTTTAAAACCGGGTTCCCAACGGGAGGAGCCACAGCGATCTGGGGAAAACTGGAGCCCAGGTGCCGGGGAGTCCAGTTCGAGCAATTAACGCTAGCTTTCGGGGTAAACAACACCGGGGAGCCGGAAGAGGGGCAGGGAGGCCAAGATCAAAGGCAGAGATACGGGCCACCTCCAAGCTAGATGAGGGTGACAGTTGGGAAAATAAACAATCCACGGGGTGATAAGAGGTCTGCTCCCGGGGAGCTCGGAGGAGTGGCCTCCACCCCAACTTTCTCCAAACAGTTTTCCTAGAAAAACCAGTAGGCCAAGCAAAGGGGCGGGGGGGGGGGGGGGGAGTGCGGGGTGCGGGGCAAGGTCGCCTGGGTCAAGGAAAGGCGTAGGGCAAAGGCAGAGAAGGCAATCCACTCCTTCTGGTATTCAACTATTTTAAGGACCTAGCATGTCTCTTGCTTGGTTCTAGGGATGCAGAGGTAAGCAACAATAACAGACCCGCCCTTACCCTCCTGCAACCCAGTCTGAGAGACTAACCTGAATCAGAGATTCACACAAATATGAAATGACTTGTGGCAATTATGGCGGGAGGGTGACTCACACGAGGAGCTAGGGAGTCACCTCTCTGCAGAAGGGAGGATTGAGCCAAGGAAGCCGGCCGCACTAGGAAGGAGATGACTAGGCAGAGAATGCCAAAACCCCAGGTAGGCGGAGACCTGGAATACAGAGACAGTGGGGAGGGAGGGGAAAGAGCCCACTCCCCGGGACGTCTGGGCAGGAGCAGCAGGTACAGAGAAAAGCTATTGTGCTTCTCAAAGAGGGCCTGGGAACCACAACCTCAGTCTCTTAGCTGAGGAGAAAAACAGATCTTTGGGCTACTCCTCAGCTTCAGAGACAGAAGAATGTAAGGTATTGGACGTCTGGGCAGGAGCAGCAGGTACAGAGAAAAGCTATTGTGCTTCTCAAAGAGGGCCTGGGAACCACAACCTCAGTCTCTTAGCTGAGGAGAAAAACAGATCTTTGGGCTACTCCTCAGCTTCAGAGACAGAAGAATGTAAGGTATTGACAAGCCCTCAGGTGACTGTTCTACAAACCAGGTATGAGAGCCACCCATCCTGTTTGTCCAGACTGGCAGGAGCAGTGGGCAGACGCCAGACCCTGCAGATTCCATTTGGGCCTGAAGCAGAGGCACCAAGCAGTGAGCAGGTTTGCACTTTGGAAAGATCCTTCTGGTATTTGAAGGTTGGGCCACTTTAGAGGGCCAAGTGGGATAGGAGTTCATGTCTATGACTTTCTAGAGGGGTGAGAAAGCAGAGATGGGCTGAAGAGGAGATTGGAAGTGGGGGACACTGAGATTTGTGGGAGATCAGGAACTGTTCTGTCTTGGGGTTGTGTGGATGCACAGATGTGTGTGTTTTATCAGAACTGACGAAAGGAGTAGTTTATTTTTCTTTGTGCTGGTACCAGGTTTGAACTCAGAGTACTTGTTCCCTCATCGCTGGTACTCTGCCTCTCAAACCATGCCTCCAGTCTGCAATTTTGCTGATTAACTAGAGATGGAGCTTTAGAAACTTTTCTCCCTGGGCTGGTTTTAAACTGAGAACCTTTAGGTCTCAGTCTCCCAGGTAGCTAGGATTATAGGCATGAGCTACTGATGCTCAGTTAAAGGATGAATTTTAGTATAAAGTGCATTTGAGGGGCAGGGAAGGTGGCTCAGTGGTAGAGTGCTTGCCTCGCATGCATGAGGCCCTGGGTGCGCGTATGTGTGTGCACACACACACACACTAGTATGAAGGTCAAAAATTGATTAGGCTTCATCCTAATTTAAAATGTTTGCACTTTTTCAGGCCCAGAGGTATGGCTCAAGTAGCAGAGTACTTGCAGGCTCTGAGTTCAAACCTCAGTATCATATACACCAAAAACTTAAAAAAAAAAAAAAAAAGCACTTCAAAGGACTAAGGAAAAGAAGGGGAAGTGAGGAATATAACAGTGGTACAGTTGAGACTCTGACTTCAATATCCAGTAATAAAAGAAAAAGAAAAAAAAGGTTAACTGAAAGAAACTATTTGCAAGTCGTCTCAGAATGTATGTCCAGAATACATAAAGAATTCATATATACCACTAAAAAGAGATAAATAACCCAATTAAAACTAGGCAAAAGCCAGGCACTAGGAGCTCATGCCTATAATCCTAGTTACTAAGGAGATTGAGGTCTGAAGATCATGGTTTGAAGCCAGCCCAGACTGGAAAGTCTGTGAGACTCTTAACTGTAATAAACTACCAAAAAAGCTGGAAGTATACCTGTGGCTCAAGTGGTCAAGCATTAGACTATAGCAAAAGAAATTCAGGGGCAAAGCCTATGCCCTGAATTTAAGCCACAGGACTGGTAGACACACATAACCCCCCTACACACACACACACACACACCAAAAAAGGCCTAGGCAAAAAAATTGAATAGATGTCTCAAGTAACATATATGAATGGCTAATAACCACATGAAAAGATGTCCAACAACATTAGTGATTAGAGAAATGCATATTAAAACCACAATAATATACCTACAACTTCACACCTGCTAGAACAGTTACCAAAGAAACAGATAAAAAAAGTATTGGTGGGCTGGGAAGGTGGCTCAGTGGGAGAGTGCTTGCCTTGCATGCATGAGGCCCTGGGTTCGATTCCTCAGCACCACATAAGCAGAAAAAAAAGTCAGAAGTGGCACTGTGGCTCAAGTGGTGGAGTGCTAGCCTTGAGCTGAAGGGCTGAGGGACAGCGCCCAGACCCAGAGTTCAGGCCCCACGACAATCAGACCAAAAAAAAAAAAAATTGGTAATTATATGGACAAACAAACCCTTATATATTATATTGCCCTTAGGAATGTAAAATGGTACAGCCACTTTGGAAAACACTTTGGTGATTGCTTGAAAACTTAAACATAAACTTACCATTCAATCAATAATTCTATTTCTAGCCAGGCACTGGTGGCTCACGCTTGTAATCCTAGCTACTCAGGAGGCTGAGTTCTGAGCATAGCAGTTCAAAGCTAGCCAGGGCAGGAAAGTCTGTGAGACTCTTTTGTAGTTGTTGTTGTTGTTATTGTTGGTTGTGGGGCTTGAACTCTGGGCCCTCATCTCTTCAGCTCAAGGCTAGTGCTCTACCACTTGAGCCACAGTGTCACTTGTGGTTTTCTGGTGATTTTTATTGGAGATAAGAGTCTCATGGACTTTCCTACTCGAGCTGGCTTTGAACTGCGATCCTCAGATCTCAGCCTCCTGAGTAGCTAGGATTACAAGTGTGACCCATTGGCGCCCTGCCTGTGAGACTCTTATCTCCGGTTAACCCCCAGAAAACTGGAAGTGGCACTGATAGCCTTGAGCAAAAAGTAGTTCAGGGACAGTGCCCAGGCCCTGAGTTCAAGCCCCAGGACTGGCAAAAAAAAAAAAAAAAAAATCGAAGCTGGACTCTGGAAGCTTAGATCTAAGTGTCCTAGTTCGACGCCAGTGCTGGCATACAAATCTGAGGGATTGTTATCTCCAATTAACCACCAAAAAGCTGGAAGTGGAAATGTTACTCAAGTGGTAGAGTGCCCAGGACCTGAGTTCAAGCCCCAGTATGGACACTAAATAAGTAAATAGTAAATAAATAAACAAATATGCCACCACCATGTTAGCAAGAAACGGCAACTATTTCCTATCATCAGCCACCCCATTCCCATCCTCTTCCCCATCCCCAGTGGTGCTTGCCTGACCATTTCTTCTTGGTTTTTGTAAACTGGCAAGGACTTTGCAATCGAAGACGGTTCATTAGATCAAGAAAAGACACAAAGTTCTACAAACACGAAGGGACCGGGGCAAAGTTGGCACTCACAGGCCCAGAGGTGTGAACCGGTTCACCCAGCCTAGCCTGAGACGCTCCGCAGCTGAGGGCATAGAAAAATTCCAGCGCCGTACTACTAGACGCCGCCTGCAGGGGGAGCCCGAGCGCCTCGCGCGGCCCCGCCCCGTCACGTGTCCGCGGCGCCGCGTCGCACCCGGAAGCGGCGGCCGGAGCGGAGCTGGCAGCGATGAGTGGGGAGCCGGGGCAGGCGTCCCTAGCGCCCCCTCCCGGGGAGGCCGAGCCGGGCAGTGGGGTCCGCATCGTGGTGGAGTACTGGTGAGCTGCTGGAGCTGGAGGCGCCCCTGCGGCTCCCCGGGCGGGCGGGCGGGCCGGAGGTAGGTCCTCGGGAGGCCCCTGCCCCGGAACCCCACCCACCCCCACCCGCTCCACCTCTTTCCGCAGTGAACCCTGCGGCTTCGAGGCGACCTACCTGGAGCTGGCGAGCGCCGTGAAGGAGCAGTATCCGGGCATCGAGATTGAGTCGCGCCTGGGAGGGACAGGTGAGGTCCTTCAGGACAC